TTTTTTTTTTTTTTTTTTTTTTTTTTTTTTTTCCCCCTCTTCTCTTCCTCCCTCCATGCTAGCTAATGGTAACCGTGCAAAGTGTTCGCTAGCAGCTCGCCGTTAGCCGCGGCTAACACAGCTAACGTGGCCACGACCGCCAAGCGGCTTGTCGCTCGCCGACACGACACGCGACTAATTCACTCCGGGGGAGAGAGTCTAACGTGGCGTGATATCGAAATATCTAGCCGCGGCGGAGGTCTGAGCTCCGGGGGGAAACCGCACGAGCGGGGCTCGAGAGCGGCTAACGTTAGCGGAGGGGATGTAACAAAATGGCGGATTACTGGAGCGTGAGCTGTCAGTACTTGCCCCCCCCCACCCCCTCCCCCCCTCTGCACCATGCTAGCTCTGTAAGCGTGAACATTTGAGCTCCTGCTTCGGTTCGTTCTCTCAACCGGCACCTAATATGTTACCGTGCTCTTTCTTCTTTTTCTTTTTTTATACCCATACTAACAATTTAACATCCAGTTTTTTATTTTTTTTATTTCTTCCTGCGATTCGGTTTACCGGCCGAGAGCTAATTTAGACGCTAGCGAGGCGTTAGCTCCTTGTCGCTAAGTGAGTTAGCAAGTGAGTGGGAGGGCATCTGTGCACTTGGTGGGGTGTTCCCCCCCTGAACACGGGCTGTGCAGATCGATGGAGAAAACGCTCCCGTTACACTGTCATACCATTGCGGGCCTGACAGTGGCTGTTTTTAGACGCCCGCCTGCGCCTCCAGTCCTGCGTTGCCCAGAAACGTGAAGTGAATGTGCCATGACTCATTCACGGGATTTGAACCGAGTGTATTTCCAGAGTGATTCAAAGTTGACCGGCTGAGTGGTGTCCTGGGCCGGAATGCAGTCATATTGTTGTTCTGCCACAGCCTGGCCAGTGTTAACACTAATCCTTACAGCGAATAGATGGATTTCTGAAGTCGTATACTGCGAAGAATTACATGGGCCTCACGCTCGCAGAGAACCGCGGGCCTGCGCGTTCTGACGAGTTATTTATTATTCACAGTGAAATGTACACCCTGCTATGTGAAATCAGCGCCACATCCACGATAATTGAACCTTTAAAGAACATATCAATGATTTATTAAGGAAGTGAGTGGTTCTATGGGTGTGTTAGCTTGGTTGTTGAATGGGTGGAGGCTTGACACTGACAAGGAAGCCACGTTAACGTGTATTCTTAACACACCATATCAGGTCACCTCTAAATCTAGTGCATTTTGCAACTTACCAATAATTATCTCTGAGCCTGACAAATGTTTAACCATCCAACCAATCAAAAAAAAAAAAAACTCAAGGATTTGTGAAGCAGATATAATTGGCATGCTGCTGGTCAACCCAACTTGAGACCACCGTGTCGTCAGCTACCATGACGAGATAATTGACATCTTGTGTGCACGCTGAAGAATCAACGTGAATGTAAAATATGTAATTAACACAGCAGAGTGCATAAATGGGATTTGTTTTTTTAACAGAGATGGTGACTTATATGAAGAACGTGGCGGGTATGAACGTGGAGCTCACAGTGGAAGAGAGGAACCTACTATCAGTGGCCTACAAGAATGTGATCGGAGCTCGGAGAGCCTCCTGGAGAATAATCAGCAGTATCGAATCCAGGGAAGAGAGCAAGTGCGGAGAAGACAAACTGAAGATGATCCGGGATTACAGGCAAACGGTAACTAAGCCAGTATTCACAATCTGTCTTTCAGGAACGCATAAAGTTACCATGTCCCATCGTCCTCTCTGTTTCTCATTTCAAAGCATTTCAGGTTTGCTTTGCTGATGTGAAATCACTTGCTCATATTAATAATGCACGTCATGAGGCACCTACTGGACAGACTGCATCTGAGTCATAGTTGGCAAGTGGTGCACTCTTTTGCTTTTATGAAGGGAAACAAGAGCTGGCTATTATTATGGGAGAGGCTGGGTGTGTCAGATGGGAGAGGCAGTTGGACTGCAGTCAATGACCTAATGGGATTCATAGATGAGTTATCCTGCTCCTGTAACTTTATTTTGTTATTAGTTCTCTAACTCCCTCAGGAGTACACATTTACTTGGTAAGCATTCAACAACATTGAAATTGAATCAACAGAAATTAAATTTCAATCTATTAGCAGACTATCAGAAAGATGTTTACTGATAAACACTGCATAGTTGGCAGTTTGAATTTCCCTTGACTTCTTGACTTGACAAAGTAAAACCAAACTGTTCTGCCAGAAAAGTAAAAGAACATACTGGTTTTAATGTCGTGTCTGATCCGTGGAGCCCACAGGAGGACATGGACAGCTACAGTGGAAGTCATATGTGAACATATTAAGACACATGCACCTACATTGAAGCTGAACTTAAAATTTGCATTATAGAAATTGCTTTATTTGGAAATATATGACAACAAACATTTTTGCTAATTAAATTATGACTTTATTTGTCTTTGTTTGGTGGCAGGTGGAAAAGGAGCTGAAGGCGATCTGTAATGATATTCTGGATGCACTGGAGAGGCACCTACTCCCCTCTGCTGCCATGGGAGAGTCTAAGGTCTTTTACAACAAAATGTAAGAGCTTTGTGGTCTGAATATTACTACATATCTGACTAAATGAATCCTCTCTATTCCTTTCACAGAATGTTGGGTAACGTTTGGGGCTTGCGTCCTTATTTGACAGATTGATATGGTTGAATAGGAAAAAATGTACTTATTCCAGACAGTAAAATAATTCAATAATTTGTATCGAATATTGTCGCGCACCACTAAGTAATTTTTTTCCCAAAACATTTGCAGGAAGGGAGACTACCACAGGTATCTGGCAGAGTTTGCCACTGGCAATGACAGAAAGGAGGCGGCAGAGAACAGCCTGGTGGCCTACAAAACAGCTACCGACCTAGCCATGTCCGAGCTGCCTCCCACACACCCCATTCGCCTCGGCCTTGCCCTCAACTTTTCCGTCTTCTACTATGAGATCCTCAACTCGCCCGACCGTGCATGCAGGTCACTGTTTCTTCAATACATTTTCTCTCTTGTATAGATTTAAGTTTGATGAACAATGTTAAAGCAGAGTTATCTTATGTGTACGTATTAAATGTCTTCACAGGGGGTTTAGAAAGGATCCAACGTGTCAGTGTACTGACAAACAGTTAGGAATCATCTAATGATTTCATTGTCCTTTGTTAATCAGTCTCAGTTGCAGACTCGCTCCAGTTTTTTCATCTGCCAAATCATGTGTATTGTTCTCACAAGTGATGCTAAAGCGTTAAATGCCCAATTTGAAATTCATGTTTTATTGTATTACCACGTTAATCCCAATGGATGTCACGAGGCTTTGTTTTGACACAGGTCAATTTAAACACGCCTTTGTCTAAACGTTTGTAAGACATAACGGTTAATCATGTTAACATCCTGCTTAAATCAGTATACAGTGACACCTTGTTTATGCAGCCATTTCCCCTAGTCATCTTTAAAACTGCTAGACCTCGTTTTGAAGCCATCTGTGTAGCATCAGCTTTATGTTCACACATAAATGAATAAAAAACTGATACATAATATTGAATATAGCATTATATATTTAATGTGACAGATGTGCATAGTGCAGCTCGAAAAATGAGCAGTTGAATCTTACATGTATAAACATGATTTCTCACATCGCTGACAGAACCTGCTCAGAACTCTGAATCTTTAAGTATATGGTGCTGAATGTGTTTGCTCAGGTTGGCGAAGGCTGCATTTGATGACGCCATCGCAGAATTGGACACACTGAGTGAAGACAGCTACAAGGACTCCACGCTTATCATGCAGTTGTTACGTGACAACCTGACACTATGGACTTCAGATATGCAGGGAGAAGGTAAGAGGCTCATACCATGGTGGCCATTCATAATACTTCTGTCGGACATGATATACACTAACATTTTCTCTGCATCGGCACTGTGTCTGTCTGTTCTTGTCTCTGATCAACGTCTTTTTCCAGGATTAGGCCCTCATTGATCATTTCACCCACACCTCACTCATCTCCTGTTACACACCTAAAAACATTTGTTCTGAATTTATAACATTTGTCAATAACTCAGAGCAGCCTGATAAATGATCTGTTGAGTCAGCAGTAATACAACGCCCATGTGTTGGTAGATTATAATGTTGTACTTTTTACCAGTAAGAGTAAGCCTTTGACTTTGATTCTGATATGGCTGTGACACAACTTTGGGTACAATTTGACAAACTGGGTCTCTAGTTATGTGTAATTTCTTTGTATCTATCACAAAGTAAAGCAGATGTTTGTGTTTACCTGACATTCCTTATATCATAGTCAAATAAGTTCAATGCCCCGTCTGCTGGGGTTTTAAGAAGGAACCAGCATTGAACATCCAGACAAATGTTTTTGTAGATATAAGATAACATTTTGACAAAACTGGGGTAGAATCAATAATCAAATAATAAGGAGGGTAAATGACTGTGGGAAGTGCAGCCATGAAAAAAAATAGAATACACGTTCAACAGCCTAAGCTTAAGGGCATGTATCATGCTGCTCACACTGCATGTCCATGTACAGAGTGCGGGATCCAGAGTGGCTGAAGGGAAATCCGCCATTAAAAACAAAAACTCACAATCATTCTACCAAACTAAGATCACCTGTCTCCACCTTGCAGCTTTATATTCTAGCACTGAAATTACAGTAGAATATGTTACAAAACTACAGATGAATTAATGCAGCTGTTGTTGAGCAGCTCAGAGTTGTTCTTCCTGTTTCTGGATCTCTCGGGCAGGAGAAAAGTAAACTTCAAAGTGTGCTTGAATAGTTTTCCTTAAAAACATTTAGCTCACATCTTTGAAGATATAACACAGGGGGTGTGGGTCTCAATCAAATCTGAAAAGTTTTCTTTGGGACTGTCAACCCCAAATTCTGTTTTTGACATTATCACTTCTTTGTACTGGAGATCTTGGTTTCAGATCTTTTAAGGTTATTTACTTGATACAACTGCATTTTCTTCAACTCTGCCAATTAGTTCTGACATTTGTCCCAGCTGTTGTATTTTTACAAACAGCAAAAAACCAGTCGTCTTTTTAAAATATGCATAGTGGTGTTTCTTCTTCCCCGAAACAATCAGTCATCAACGGAAAAAATCAGCTGGAGATGAAAGCTGCTATTGTCACAACTGCAAGCTGCAGCTTGTTAAAACAGTTAATTATATGAGTTGAAAATGTACCTCCTGGAATTAAAAAAAATTCAAACTATGATTTTGATGTAAGGACAAAAAATTTGATTCATTCTTTCTCTTCCTCCGGTCATTCCAGTAGTTTATATTTATTTCTCATCATCTCTCTTGTCTTTTTCTCATTCCTTCTGCTGTAGAGTCCTAAAGGAAACAAACCAGACTGTTCATTTCCCATGTTAACTGTACTTTGTAAGTGTTGCTCACCCAAGCCTTGCTGTGTGTGACTCACCTCTCAACATGAATTAACTCATGGTTAAATAATGCAGTCCACTCACCTGTTGCTTTGTCGCTCACTCATTCATTGGATCTTGGGTCTTACCACCACAGTCAGTTGGAACTCTTTCTTGACTAGGGCTGCCACCCAATAGTTTACTAAATGATATTCTAAGTCGACCAAGGTTTAATCGGTCGTTTGGACGAAGGAAAATACATCCTAAAAGTTCATCATTCAATTAGCACGGACAGACATTGTTTACATGGCTGTTCCCTGTGGTTAATAGATAATTAAATACGTAGGGCAGGGCGATATGGCCTAAAACAAATAGCATCTCTCCATTACGTATCTCGATATTTTGAAATCTCCTCTAAATCACTATACATATGTTAAATTCCTGAAGTCCACAGGCAGTGGCTAGGTTAGCGAATGTTAGCATTTCCGACGGTCCTTGAATGCACCTCGTTGGAAACTATCAGCGGCGTTAATGTCTGGGAATGTCTTCTGATCATTGAGCAGCTGTGGATCATAGAGGAAACTCAGTGTTTGCACTCTTTGTTTCTACTGTTCTTCAGTCACTGACCAGCTGCTCTGAACAACACTGTCAATAACCGTCTCTGAACTCTCGTCAACCCGCTGGGGCTCTTCGCCCTCTCCACGCTCTCTTCCCTCCTCTACTGATACAAAAATATTCGAGCAGGAGAGTTTTCTGGACGGGCGGGGAGTGAGCTGTCATTTCGAGAAGTTAAACCCTGAAAAGACGATATCCCGCAAACTCTGGAGGCAAACATTGTTGTCTGTTAGCCAATTAGCATAGTATCGCGCTAACTTTAGATAGCATAGATAAACATGGTCTATCTAAATGTTTGGTGGCATGAATCCACATTGTGCACATTTGTTAGTTTTAGAAATTCAGAAGTTGCGTGATTTATTGAAATAAATCAACAAAATGTCTCCTGGTTGGTTCTTCAGTCACATTTAGACTCATCTGCGCTTTTGCCTCCTTAACAAGCAGCTGGTCTTCACTTGCTTAATGCGTGTGCCTGTAAAATATAAAGGTGTATTATCACTAGTTCTACAATATTATCTATAATATCCTTCCTCAGCCTTGAAACGCAAACTCTTCTGATGCCCCCTTAAATATTTCAAATTAAAATCAATTGACGGCTTGAAATAACAACTACTTGTGGAATAAAATAACTCTTTGTTGGGGGGGGGGGCAGTCCTGCTCATGAGTGTCGGTAGTTCCACTCAGTGTTCACTAAGTTACCTATTAAACCTGTATGCACACCAAGCAGCAGAGGGTTGGCATGGTAGACTGCACACTCTGTACACTGTGCACATTTAACACTTTCAGACCGCAGTTAATGGGATAGTTCACCCAAAAAGGAAAATTCACTCATTATCTACCATCTATGTCAATGGAGGGGTGGGTGAAGTGTTTGAGTCCACAAAACCAAATCCAATACTATTGAAGTAACTGGGGGGGGCACTTCTTCAAACGGAATAAAAACATGAAATGGGTCGTTCAGGTTTGAATGTTGTACTGATGTGCTAATGCATCAGTAACTATAATATCTGTATGCATGTTGCGTTTGGTTCGTAATGCAGCATTGTCAAAAAACACAAACCCACACACCCATCACTTTGTTGTTCTACACCAAGCCCTTCACCCTTGTCTACACTGTCTCACCTAATTCAGGAGTCAGGCGCTTGCTACCCTGTGATTCAGTTTCAGCAGCGTCTTCCAGCAGCCAACAGTAGCTTGAAGCATTAAAGACGCTGGAGGAGCAGACCAGTTTTAACCAGTTTTTTAATTAAAGTAATTGGTATTTAGGTATTTTGTATAAAAATGAAAAAGCCTTGACATTTTGCTCGTTTCCAAACTGGATATTTTTTAATTTCACTGAGTTCCTTTGGCTTTGTACCAAACATAAAGCCTGTCTGCCTCTCACTCGCTGTTAACAGTAAAAACCTTGTTTTAAGCTGAGTAATCACATTCTGATGACAGCCATTTAAAAAATAAAATAAAATGTAACTGTGTGTTTTCTCCACCAGGTGAAGAACAGAATAAAGAGGTACTGCAAGACGTAGAGGACGAGGCCCAGTGAGACTATGCCACCAACAGCCAACAACTTGAGACCCTCCCCTCACCACCTCACACTCCTCATCCCTCCTACTTCATCTCCCCCCTCTCAAACTCACCTTCCTCCTCTCCTTCCTTCCCCCTTTTTCCTTTCTTCCACCTCTGCAGTTCCGTGGCCCAACAGAGCCATGTAGTTAAACAGGTTTATTTTTCTCTTCTTTTTTATTTTTATATTAGCCCTTACATCATTCAAGTAAATACCACTTAATTGAGACAGGAAATACAATGTTAGACAGACAAAGATAATGAGAATCCCTTTTTTTTTTTGTCCTGGTACAAGCAGTTCTGAGATGTTATCTTTGTTTTCATTATTGTATTTTTGTTTGTTTTTTTGCTTTTTCCTCAATATTTTTATCAGTTGCTGGATGTATTGAGATTTTTTTCTTAATGTAATTACAGAAATTAACTTTTATTACTGATAATGTTGACTATTAGTTATGGGAGCTATTTTATCTCTGTTTTTAGTGAAATGTCGAATGCGAATCATCATCTTTTTTATGGGCAATTTGAAAACTACAAGTGCCCTTTTTGTTAACTTAGGTTTTCAGTGGAAGTTGGCAAAATTCGCGATATCCATGTGGGGCAAAGAAGTGCTGAACTTTTACACCATAGTGATTCTGTCATCATGTTTTTGTAGTTGTCCTTGGACTGTACCTTGTGCTGAAATACTGTAACTGTGCAAACATGCTGAATCTCTGATGGTCGACTTGCGGCTAGCTGGTGGTTTTAATTTTGAAAACTTGGGAGATTTCTCACTTGTGTAAAAGGCAAGTCTCAATTTTGCCCCGCTCCTCGACAGAGAGCTCTAAAATCAAGGTAGTCAGCGCTTGCATGCGTTAACACATCTCTGCTGCTTCTCCCCTACTCTTCACTAAAGCTCCTCTTGGTCCAGAGGTTTGTTTTTTTTTTTTCTTTTGTTGTTTCTCTTCTTGTTTTGCTTCATTATGTGTAACTTGGAGCTGATTTGTACTACTGGATATCTGACTGGAGCCACAGACAGGGAATCTGTATTGTTCTTACTTAAACACAGCATGGAATTAACATTAAACAATCTAAATTAAACATTACAAACTGACTGGTCGCTTTTATTCTTTTCTTTTGCCTTTTAAACAACTGATGTTGCTGCTTATCTTTGTCTTATATGAACAAATATAATCCTGGGAACAGTTTGTTCAAACCGTTTGTCACGACTGTAGTAAAGGGGAATCTTGCTTTTCCTGTTTCTTGTTGAAGCCTCTGCCAGATAGGATTTGAATGAAACCTTACATAATCCAAGTTTGATGAGTAACTCGCAGGTGTTTGTTCACAATTCAAACACAGAATGTTAGTAGTGGCTCTTCACCACAAAAGCAGACAGACCTTAACAGTGTTGCCACACAGAGCAGATGTTGCTGCTGGAGTCTGAGTTGGCAACTGTGAGCATAATCATAAATTTATATGGTCTATTTATAGGGTTTGAGAGACAAATGCAATCTTACTGCCTGCAGTTCTGCTGCCACAGTGGCCTGCTACTGTGACCGGCTGATGGACGCGATGGTCAGAAGCGGGGTGACGTACGCAAAGAAGTATTTAACTCGCAGGCAGCTGAGATCAACCCCTCACAATAGATACCACTACTACTTTGTCAGGAATGTTTCCGTGTGGCTGAAAACAAACACGGATCATAGGACAACGAGGATCAATTGACCCCTATAGAAAGAAATCCAGAAGAAAGTGTGGTGGTGAGAGTGCAGTGGGGGACGGTCTCTAGGTGACGGAGTCAATAGTTCCTGTCACAACAAGCTGGTCATATTTCACAAACCCTCATTTGGCTTTTATCGTATTTAGACGTCTATTCTGCCGCGGCCCTTCTCTTCCCCTCGTGTGTTCGTTAGGATTTACTCTAACTGACCCAGTGTTCTGAGGTTCAGTGGTCTGCGGGTTTATAAAGAGTAACGTGGAAGAAGTAGACCACACTTCCTTCTCTTGCAGCCCTGAGAGCAGGCGAGACTTCTCCTCTGACTGGATTGGTGCAGCAGCTCGTCTAGCGCCCTCTACAGGTCAAGTCTGCCACGCACAACAAGAGGGAGTTTCCCCACAGATCACAGCGTCAGAGATGTGGAGCGGGGTCAACCTGCAGATTACAGAGTGGTGCAGTGAGATCTGGGTGGAGTCAGTCTTCTGTCCCTCAGATGTTTGAATGTGCAGGAGCGGCCCTGACAAAGAAAAGATGTTGTTTCCAGCTCCATCCATAGAATCCCGGGAGTCAGTGTTAAATTGTCTGGAGAATAGAATAAAGTCTGCATCGTAAGAGAACGCAGCAGTCGAATGAAATTAGAGGTGCTACTTGTGAAAACTGCAAATTTACTCTCAAAAACTAAAAATCAAAAGACAAAACAATTCATACCAGATTAATGAATACTTTAAAATAGAACAGAGGCTAGCTATTAGTTATTGCTCATGTATTGTGGGTCAGTATATCATATTTATACTTAGAGTTCTGATGGAGAATCTGTTCTTCAGTCTATTTGTTCTGTAGCATATCAGATTATTGGAGTGTGCTTCAACACAGTGAGTTCTACCTGGACCATTTATTTGCGTGTCTTGGTTTGTTGTAATTTGTTGTAATATGATGAAAAATGTATTTACATAAGTGTGAATAAAACTAGAGTGTCACTTAACACTCCACCGCCAAGGCCCAACAGACCACACACTATAAATCACTAGATCTTTATTTATTATTTGTATCCACACCAAATAGCACACACTTATAAATATCAGATTTTTTTATTATCAAAATCCAAAAATTATTCTTTTGACAAACTGACAAAAACACACCAACATTTTACAGATTCTTCTACTCGTACTGCATTCTGTGGTTTCGTGGTAATCTGTGAAGTAGTCTTTGTGAAATCCCGCAATCACACAGACACATTGAATCAAACACACAAAATAAGGTTTAGGTTTAAGTTTCAGACTGGATCTCACTACAATGAACGAGTGTAGAATAAATCTCAGATCATACTTCAGCTTCCTTTGGTTATTAAAACACACCGCAACAAATGAAATGACCGAAGTAAAAGCAGGGTGATCTGCCTCCACGGTGAAAGATGGCACCAGGCATTAAGGCACAACAACATTCTCCCCCGACCTGTCGCACGTCTTCATTTGATCAACATTGAATTTCTCTGCTCAGTATCATCACATTAACATCGGACCAGGAGCTATTCTTGCATTTCATGTGTAACCCCTGTGCTTCCACTACTGTCACCTCTGATTTTATTCCATTACATGTTATAGACGACCTCATGTAGGGCCTGTGTAAACATGGTGTTAATATGGAGCTTTAGGCCAGTGACTGACAACCAACAGGGGAAAACCTTGACGGTAACCGGGGACTGAGTGCAACGACGATGAAGTCATTTGACGGATGTACAGTAGACAGCAGATGACACAGATTACAAAACAACTTCTGATGGAAAAGCTAATTACCTGCACGTGGATTGGAAGAATGCAGTGAGTTGTAGAGCACAGTCTGTTTCTCAACAGGAGGGAAGTACTGATAAAACATGTTGTCTTATTGGCCACTGTAGTTGGGACATTTGTTGTGGTTGACAGTGAGATAAATGTCTTAATGTCTTAGATATAACGTCTTGAACTAATGTGAAAAATAATGAATAAATGGTTAAAGTAGTTGGGTACTTACAGATACTTCGTTCAAATACTTAACTAAAGATTGCACAAGGTTAAATATAGACGAGAAATGTCCATGAATGAAATCCAAGATAACAGCACAATCAGAACTAGACAATGGATTTTAATATGATTGATTGTGTTGCATCTAAAATAAAAATATATCTAAATATACATATTTGAAACATGGTGGTTCACGTGACAGCGCTGTGTGACTCCAGTGTTCTTTGCTAATTGTTAACGCAGTGATTTTAAATCAAATAAAGCTGCCGTGCCGACGGATCATCCTGCGTCTTCAGGAGAGGTGTTGACAGGCTCGTTGCCATGGCCACCACATGATTTCTCCTCCACTGAACAGCCCATTGTAACATGAAACCTCAAGAGGGCAGCAGGTTCCACCTAAAGTGAGACGGCATCACATCACCCGACAACAATTTGCCCGTTTCCACAGGGGCTGGTAATGGATGTGCTGAGAGGGGTAACAACAAAGTGCAACTTTCCAGGCCAGTGTCTCAGAGGGTGCTGTGGTGCTAGAGTCAGCAGCCTCCGCTGCTACATCTTGCAGCCTAATCGGCGTCCTCGAGCTTCCCCTGCCTTCCTGTGGAAACTGGAAACTGCCGTGGCGTTCTCTTGTCGGAGCGAGATTGCTGCTCGCAGAGTGGGAACAAACGTCGATGAAATATTATGAACTTCCTCTCCTGCTGCAGAGACAGCAGTTATAAATAGACGGGGTTATTTTCAGACGGCAGTGTGAGATTTGCTCAGGCCTGGTCTGATCTGGTCTGGGCCTGAGCCTCCGTGTGGGATCTGGTTACAGGACGCCACCGAAAATATATACAGCAGGATGAACCTGTGAACTGCAGCTCGCTGTGCTCTGCCCCACTCGCCCTTCACACCGCCCTGCAGCCAGTGCCCTTTGGCCATGGAACACTGCACATACATTTCATTTCACTGTGTCTTAAAGCGTCTGTGCACAATGAGCACACAGTTCTGCTCCCACAATCCACCTCTCTCTCTTTCTCTCTCTCTCTCTCTCTCTCTCTCCACACACCTGCAGAGGCAGCAGAATATAAACCAGACCCTGCATCAACCTGCAAAGTAGATGCAGCTGTCTTTGACGCTCATGTAACTGGATCGCAGGACGGTTGCATTGAGGGCAAGAGCCTGCGTGGATGTGGAGTCCTTCAGTGACAGTTCTCCACATGGTTCAACATGTGCAAACACTGTTGTGTGTCGTTTATTGTGTTAAGGGACTTTGTGTGGGTAATGTGATATTTTCAGTGTGTTTTTATTAGATTTGAGTTATTTTCTGTTTCTTTCTTTCTGTCCCGTTGTTCTCAGCGGCAGCACGAGGAAAGACAGACGGCGTTTCAACCACATGACAAAGAATTTGACCTGGAAAATCAGGAAAAGGAAGCTCCACCTGGATGAGAGCGTTAAGACGATTCATTGCTCCATGTGCTGCAACATTGCATTTGCAGAATCTCTGGAAAAGTATATTTAATGTTGAGTGGCTTTACTAAAAGCTGACTTAATGATGACATGTTCCATTAGTTAATGCAGTAGTACACAGAAAGATTACAATCATAATGACAATGATAATAATAATTCAGGGATTTAAAATGGTGCAGTCACTGTCACATGGGTGTGTGTGGGCAATGTGTCAGGTTGTTTCCAGCGTCTCTGCACGGATCCCCCCTCTGTCATCTCATCGTGAGTCATCTTCCGTCCATTAAGGAATACAGAGGCATACACACTCACACAGACGCACTAAAGTTAAAAAAAAAAAAGAATCCTTTGTGGTGCTGCCCTTCAAGAGAATAAATCGTACCTTCCTTCAACCACTGTCATCCAGATTTTCTCCACAGGAAAGAAGTCTTAACAGATGATGATCTGGGCAGGGGAGTAGGAAAACAAAAAACTGCTTTTACAGCCGCTGTGTGACACGGATTCACAGTAAGGTAGAGCTTCCTCTTTCCAAAGACAAACTTGATCAGCAGTCAAATTCATCACCATTCAGGTTGTTTTTGGCGTCAGCTCAACAGTGAATACATGTGAATTTGCACATTATTTCATTTCACTTTCATTCGAGAGTAAGAAAAAAAAAAAGCTGCACTTATCAAGGACATTAGTCATTTATGACAAATGTGTTTAATTTAAAATAGAACTGGGCAGAGCTGTGTGTGTGTGAGTGTGTGTGTGTGTGTGTCAAGGCCGCAGGTTTCCTGTTGATGCCCGGCTGTCAGGAATGCCTCCAACTGGAGTCAGAGTTCAAAGGATGTGTGTCACTGCCACTTCCCTGCTCTCTCCACTAATGCCCCTCCACACAAAACACAACACACACTCATCTTGTGGCGCACTCACACTGACAGGCCGCCGACATTTGCCGGTAGAATGTGCAAG